ATGAGTTTCCTAAAAAGACTGTTGTGCATACGTGGGAAACTCATGAAATAGCTTTTTTTAAAAGACAGGTACAGAAGTTGGAAGCAAGGTCAAGTAGCTGTGGAGGGATATGAAAGAATGGCACAGTTCTGTAAAGGTGATTCCTATAAAGGGAGGCTGGTGAGCAAAAGTAAGAACAATGAAAAGAGATGCGTGTTATCTAGCCACTTTGTAGAAAAGAGAAGGAGCCAAGATGACATAAGGCCAGTGTGTGGGCGGATGGGACCATAGTGCGCAAAGATAGAGCTCCCTAATTCTTAAGTTGTTTCTGTCTTCTCTGCCATCCCAAAAGATATTTGGACTGGAAAGGACAGAACAAAAATGGCTACTAAAGAGTTGATGGAGATAAGTGAGTTAGGAGATAATTAAAGAGCCTGGCCCATAAAAACTAAATCCTCAGGTGCGGAAGAACTAGGGAATGTGATTGCTGAACCATTGACAGTGACATTGGAAGGATTCTGGAAAAGAGAGACATAGATACATAGAGCATTTGTTAAGCAGTTACTTTGTGTTAATTACTGTGCTAAGTATTAGGAATACAAATACAAGTGAAAAAAAGACAGCTCCTAGCCTCAAGAAACTTATAAGCTGGGGGGAAGGCAGTACCAAAGAGGGAGCTCTTAAGAGGGGAGAGGGGCTAGAATTGGGGCAAGGTGGAAAAGTCTGGGGAGTTCTTCAAGAAATACTGGTTTTGTGAAGGAATTCACCAAACAGAGGTGAGGCCGCAAGGTGTCACAGCATCTTCAAGGTGAGAACAGGGTTGGTGTGAAGATAGAAGAAGCTAGAGAGTCAGGAGCAGCCGGGAGAGAAGAATGGGAAAGGTATTGTCAAATTGGGGAAGGCTAGATATTCTAATAAAAAACAAAAACAAAAACAAAAACAAAACAAGGTGGAGGAGGGGGAAAAGAGTGGAGTATGCAAACTAGAGAGGCAAAACATGTAAGGTAGAAACTTTCTGATGATTAGGGGACTCTGAAAATAGAACAAATTCCCTTATGAGGAAGTAGGTTCCCATCAGTAGGGGTTGTCAAGCAAAGCTTGGATGACCACTTGTCAAGTATGTTGAAGGACAGAATTCTCGTTCAAGTATGAGCTCTTCTAGATGGCCATCGAGCTCTCCTTCAACTCAGAGATTCTATACTTATCTGAAAATGCTGTGTTAAGATCTGAGAAGAAAGGTTGTTACCAGTGGGGGAAAGGTTTGAGGGTCAAGGAGGAATCAGAGGAGGCAGTATATATAATAATAAAAAATAGTAATGACAGTGACTAACATTTACGTAGTACTTCTAAGATTTGATCCTTGTAACAACTCTGGGAAGTAGATGATATTATGTTTATTTTACAGATGAGGAAACTGAGGCAGGCAGAGGTTAAGTGACTTGCCCAGGGTCACACAGCTAGTAAGTATCTGACGCTGGATTTGAACTGAAGTCCTACTGACTCTAGGTCTGGTGCTCTATCTACTGTGCCACCTAGCTGCCTGTTTCCTCTTAGATGATAGAGAATAAAGCCCTTGTTTAAAGCAATGTCATACTGTTCCTTGTACCTTCCTTTCTTGCCTCAGCCCACCACAATTAGGGATTATGATTTATTAGCTCCTTTTAATTTATGTATCAGCAAGTTGTACATATTAGTAAATTGTAAGAAAGGAAGCCTGAGTTTGCTTTGAACAAGAGCTGCTTCATTAATTATCAGCCCAGAAATAGAGGATCTCTTCATTAGTTCCTTTCAGGAAGCATTAGGAATTCTATGCAGTCTGAACCTATTGGACAATATGAGCTGAAGCCATTTCAGTGTTTTTAGTGAGTTCACTTAGAAACTTGCATCTGTAATGTCCTCTCTCTTCCTAAAGAAAATATTAAATGTATAATGAATTTCTGGTCTGGGATAGGGGCTGCCTCACAATAGAAGGAGACATTTTTGGTGTAATCTTTTCATTCATAACAAGCATTTCAACAAACATTAAATACCTTCATTATAAAAGGCCCATGTTCAGCATTGGGGAGATGACATTGAAACACAATAATCCCTGTCTTCAAGGAGATGACAGTTTAATAAATGGGATATGACAGGTACAAATAAAAAATGATGGAAGGTAGAGGCTAGAGAACAGTCCATGGGGGAAAGACCCAGGAATCTCAAGTCATTCACCAGAGAAGAGTCGAGAGTGATGGGAGATACAAGAGGGAAGAAGAAGAGGCATTGGAATAGTAGCAATAGTGAAAGATGTTTATTCACCCAAGGATTGCTGGGGATTAACTATTTTGAAAGTCCACCCTGTACATATAGGGCTTAGGAGCCACATCTGGCACTGACAGCTCTTCTGGGTGTTGATTTATAGATGATCTTTAAGGGCCTTCTAGCTCTAAACCCTGTAGTTCTGTGATCTTGTGTGTATGTGTATGTCTTTGTCCTTCTATGCACACATATATATGAAGAAGCTTTCAAGAGAGGAAGCTTTTTTTTCCTTTGAGGGTAAGCTCATGTAACATGGACAAGTAACATGTCCAGCTTTTTCCTTAAAGCCATCTAGTTTGACCTTCCCTGCTGATGCCATTTCCTTGGCCCAGTTGAATCCATCTGTTCTTGATTTCTTATCAGAGCAGAACACTTTTAATGAGGCAGTAAGGCACAGAAAGGTGAGAGAATGTTCTTGAGGCAGTTTGAAGTATGTGTATGGAGTGTTTATGGAGGACTAAAACCTCTGGTGTAAGGCTGCCCATCCACCTTTGGTGTCCACCGTCAGCCAGCTCTCACCTGTGGCTCCAAGAAGCTGTAGCATGTTCAGCAGCCACACTCCAGTAAAACTGTCTCAGCAGATGGGTTAAACCAGATTAAGGGTAACCAATGGGCCTCAAACCCATCAATGAGTTAGGGGGATGTCTACCCCAAGTAGGTGAAGACTTCCCTGGGCAGAATAGGCAGATGAGAACAAATCCTCCATGAAAGCCACTGAAGCAGGCACGGTGGAGCACTTTGAGGTTGAAGACGCCAAGATCACCCATTGCATCCTGGGCCAGTCCTGACTTTTGTCTTGTCACTGGCCTTTGATGATTCTGGCTGAAGACTTTGTGCAGCTCTGCCTCATTTAAATCCAATTCATGCATAAGTCAAGACATCACGCCATGATGTGATGGGTCCTCTTGGAACAAAGAACGAACAACAACAATGTCCACTGCATTTTATTCTTCTCCTGATCTGAAATGCATGATTGCACAGTGGTGAAAGCACTTTCATACAGTGCACCCTCACCAGATGGGAGATTCAGGGCCAGCGGTCACCTTCTATCGGGACAGGAGAGAGATTGCTAACACTTCGGACACAAAGCCCTATCAGTAATCCTCTTGAGGTGCCTGCCACATTTCTCAACAAAAATTCACCTCAAGAATTGTGCTGTGTTATTGTTGAGCATTTAGATCAGATTACAAGTCCTCAGCCTCTGTCACCCGTTATAGACCCTACTAGTTTGAAATTGGATGGGTGGGTGGGTGGGGTAGGGAATTGCCTTTTAGTCATGTTGCTTGTTTTTGTTGTTGGTTTTTTTTTTTTTTTAGTGTTTTTAGAGTGCTGTTATCCTGAGAGCTCTGTGAGACACATTGTACAAATTACTACACCAATTTTATAAGTGAGAAACTGAGGCTAGGAGGATATGGTGACTTCCCCATGATCACACAACTAGTAAGAGCCAGAGGCATGAATTTAACTCAGATCTTCTGACTATAAGTCCTAGTTGGTCATTGGAGAGACAGGGCTGTGATATGACAAAGAGCCCCTCTCTGCAGCTGCATTTTGACAAAAAGCTAGGGTGTGTTGGCCACGTTTCCCTTCAAGTCAACTCAGCAGTCCTTGGACAAACAGGCATCTCTCTTCACTACCATTATTCCTCCTCCACCACACCCCCCCCCACTCTCCTTTCTTTGCCTCCTGTGGCTCCTTTTGTCTGGCAAATAGCTTGAGGCTCCTCTGATCCTTTTGAAACTTCACGGCTGAACGCAACTAAACATTTATTAAGCACCTTCTGTGTTCAAGGCACCAGTGTTTTACCACCAGTGTTTCTCCTCCCATGCTGTACGTGTAGGGACTGAATCCTAATAAAAGAGCCCATCTATTATTCTGATCCCTTTTCTGTATCTCTTATTTATGTTTCTCCTACCCATTGTCACTATAATTGAACTTTGGGGGCTGTTCTGGGACTCGTAGTCAAGACAACTAAGGCTGTTTCCCAGCTGGTAGCATTATTGGAATGTGACACTTCTCCTTTGTGTCTTCTCCCTTGAATTCTCTAACAAAACCAGAATCTTGTGAACTCAGTATCTTCAGATATTAACAATAGGATATCTTGCTAGATGACACCCAATAAATTACCTGCAGATTTCCTCTTCCAGTAGGGACATATTTATTACCCACACATAACTGACTTTTCTGTATGCTCTGTGAATCAGAGTGAAACGTGGATCTGCTCACCTCTAGCACTTCTGTTGTGGGCAGAGTTCTTTGCCCTTGCACTAAAGACTCCAGACTGTTTTTTATTTTGCATTTCTTCTCTCTCCTCCACTGCTGTTAGCTGTGAGCACTTTCCTCCTCTGGGGCAAAGTATATGGGCTTTATTAAGGTGATCTGATGCTCTTTTTTTTGGGAGGGCTTATTTGTGGTTTCACACGCTGCTTGCCAGAGTTGAGGTGGCTTGAAATCCGACAAACATATGCAGATTAGGAGTCTATCATTCTATTTTTACAGGGGAAAAGTAATACAAACTAGAATTTGGTGACATTTTTTGTCATATGGAAATTTTCAGTGGAATTTGGTTTTACTATAATAGAATTGGATCTGTGCCTTGAATGTGTATATGTGTAAGGTTCATGTAGTATCTGACAGATGGGTAAAGGCTAATGTTGGATACACCACAAAATTGCTTCTTCTTTCTGATTATCTCCTTGTTAATCTCTGTCTTCTCTTTGCAGGTTACCCTACTGGTTACCCAACAGCTGCCCCAGCCTACAACCCCAGCTTGTATCCAACGAATAGCCCAAGCTATGCTCCAGGTAAGGAGGAGGCAGAGAGTTGTTTTGTGGGGATAGGACGATGGGTGTAAAACCCCTGTAGTCATGCTGTTTAGCTTGGAAAAATTCTTTCACATGCTTGGGTGCTCAGGGCTCAGCCTGCCCAGGCTCCTAGCACTGAGTGTGTCTGAGAGGGTGTGAGCTAGACCTTGGGGTGGGCAAGAGTTGGGGGAATGCAGACAGGACAGATAGGGGAAGAAGTGTACTCTCCTTGGTGTGGACACCCACTTTTCAAAGAAATCCTGACCCTGTTCCTAGCCTTTACCCCAAAGGACAAAATCAGTTCTTTGTGTTCATTTTTCCTTCTAAGATCTCAGTTGAGAAATAACTATAGTCATTGAACATGTTGACAGGTGTATATATGTTGGAGACTTGCCATCAAAGAGTCTAAATATATCAAGCTTTCAAACCACTGCTTTGACTCAGTCATTAGTCACAAAGAGAAGCACTGTAACTCCAAATGGATAGACTGAAAATGGGACCCAGCTCTCCGAGGAACATGCATCTTAGATGTGTGCAATGTTTTCTATTTTTCACAGCATTTTCCCATTCATTATCTCTATTAGTTATTGGATATTACAGCTGCAAACTTCCTGAGAACATAGATTGATGGATATTAAAGCTAGAAGAAACCTTAGGATAGAGAAGAATAACTCACATTTCTATAGCACTTGAAGGTTTGTGAAGTGCTTTCCACACAACACCTCTTTGAGTCAAGTAGTACAAGTGTTGTTATTTCCATTTTACAGCTAAGGATCCCAAAGTTCAGAGCTGGAAAGGACTTGAGAACATAGAATGTGAGAATGCAATATTGGGGTAGAAGCTGCTGAACTTGGAGGGAAGGAGGCCTGGGCTTCAGACCTGCCTCAAATACGTGCTAGTCTTATAACAATGGGGAAGTCATTTAATTCTCCTTAACTTCCCCTTCCTTTTAGAGCCTCAGTTTCTTCATGTGTAAAATGGGGATAATAATACCTGCACCATTCACCTCACAAGCTTGTTCTGTATTAAGTACCATGTTAACCTTAAAGCTCCATAGAAATCTAAATCATTTTAGTTGTAGTGAACCCATTATGTAGAGCTGGGAAGGGCCTGAGACCACAAATGTCATCAGAGCTGGGAGGGGCCTTAGAACAGAGAATAGCACTAATTCCTATTTCCGTAGAACTTTAAGAATTTTACCTCATAATAATTGTTTAAGTAAAAGCAAGTATTGTTATGACAATATATGTTACATATATTACATATATGTAACATATGTTACAGTTGAGGACATAGATTGTTAGAGCTGGGAGGGGCCTTAGAAACCATCTAAGTTCAACCCCTGCTTTTTGCCTCTCCCTTCTTTTATAAATGAGGAAACTGAGGCTCATAGAGCAGTACTTCTTTAAAGTCATACAGTGAGTTTGTAGAGCTAGGACTCGAACCCAGATCTTCTGAGTTTCTATGATAGAGTTCCTTATATTACGCCACAGCTCCCTTCTTTAGGATCATGTCTCAGAAGTGACAGACCAACCCCCTTTATAGGTGGCATGAGATCAAGGGTGTGCTGTAAATGTTTAACAATCTACTAGGCAGAGGGGAAGCCTCTTAACTATGCATGACACACTTTTAAGTTTAATCGGATAATATTAACACCAGTCTAGACAGTGCACAAAACAATAAATCCAGTCCTGATTTGTAGCGCTTGCTGTTTCTGAGGCATAATGCTCACACGCTGGCTGTAGTACACGTATGAACAAGGTGGCCCAGGACCTGAGAGGATTGTCCTTAAAGTTCTCCATTAGACCGTACCCAGGTCTGCACCTTTTCATAGGAGCAGTGAAATGTTCGAATCAGAGCTTGAAGGGAAATGAACCTTCAGGGAAAACTAGTTCTAGGATTGAAAGTCTACTCTCTTAGCTTCCAGAAGATCAGTTTATGTGCTTAAGTGAGAGCTGTTTTCAGCCAGATCTTGTAGATACTAATGTGTCATTAGCAGAGAGCATAGATAACCTTATGCTCCTTGGTTCATCCTGAAAACTGCTTGTTACTGGAAGCTTTCTCAGCTTGTTCCCATTTCTTTACTGTCTGATCATTGGGAAGCAAAATAACCAGAATCATAAAACATCAGAATTGAAAGCAACCTTAGAGGAAACTGAGTCCCAGAGAGGCAAACTGATGTGCCCAAGGTCACACAATGAGTTAGTGGCAGAGTTGGGAATAGATCCTTGGTCTTCTGAAAATAAGGCCCTTACTCTTGAGGTGGGGTGGAGTATTTTGGGTTAGAGGCTAAATTGGGAGCAGAAGTGCAAATAAAAATACACAGCAATAAAGCCTTTTGGACTGTATCAAGTCAAATAGAAGCAGTATGGAAAAAGCAAGACCAGTTTGAGAACTAATTTGCTTTGTGACCTTTGGCAAGTGGCTTCCCCTCATTAAGCCTAAATTTCCTAATTTGTAAAATTAAGAAATTCAATCAAAGACCCTTTCTGGAATGACATTCTGTATTCTAAGGTCCCTTCTGGCTCTGATGGTTTGTGTTCTGTGGTCTAACGTTCCATGTTCTAAAGTCCCTTCCCTTTCTAACATTCTGTAACTGTATGAACCAGGGCATGCCCCCTCCACTGGCCAAGCTGACCACTGTGATGTGACTCCTCACTGAAGGTCCTTTCCTTAATGAGCTGTGGATTTGAACAGACAGAACATTTGAATAGATAAATTTAGGCTCTTGTTGCTGGCAGTTGGGTCTCTTGCTTCAGAGAATAATTTTTCAGCTTTCACAATTACCTCTCCCTGAGTCCTTTGGGAACATTGCACACTGGGCTAAACTGCTGTTTCTAGAAGAGTCTGTTTACATAGATGAGATGTATACATCATTGCGCAAATTCTTAGCGGTAATTTCAACTAACATTTTTGTCCAACAGAGTTTCAGTTCCTGCATTCAGCTTATGGTAGGAGAACTATTTTTCCTCATCTGTATTATAGCTTATGAATGTATTTTCTCATTATGTCAGTAGCCCCTTTGCCTTTCCTCTCCCCACTGCACCCCCAGAAGCCACAGAGCTGGGCGAGGGGATCCCTCAGAAGGCCCCCAGAGGGCCCTAAAACATGCTGGGATGTCATAGAACCTTAGGGCTAGAAGGGACCATAGAGATCATCTAGCCTAGCCCTTATTTCACGGGGGTGGGGGGAACAGACCTGGAGGGAAGCAGATAATGAGTTAATTGCAGATGTGTCTGATGACGAAGAATCGTGGGTTAAAGAAATAATAAAACAATCTTACCAAGTGAGAATAGGGGATTGCAGAACCCAAAGGTGCTTCCCGGCCCCACAGCCTGTCCTCAGTCATAATGCCAAGTGAGACAGTAATAATAAGTGATACTTCCAAAGTGCTTTACAATCACTGTTCCTTTTGATGCTCACAGCAGCTCTAGGAGATATTATTATTCCCATTTTATAGGTGAAGAAACAGGGGTTCAGAGAGTTTAAACAACTTAAAATTAAAAGCTTTAAAGTTGGAAGGGACCTTAGAGATCATCGTTACTAACTTACTCATTTCACAGGTAAGGAAACTGAAGCCCAGAGAAGTTAAGTGATTTTGCTTAAGATCACACAAGTTAGTTGTGGAGCTAGGATTGAACCCAGGTCTTCTGACTTAAAGTACAAAGCTTTTAACATTACTCCAACTTCTTCTGACACCCACACTCCATTCATTACCTCTCAACAAAATGGCTCTTTTTTTTTCCTTATCATCCATTTGTTCCTCTCTGGTTTTTGGGAAGGAGATCATTCCGTATGGCTGGAATGAAGATAGAGGTTTAATGTAATAGAAAGAGCTCTAGTCTTAGATGAAGAATACCAGTGTTCAAAACCCTAACCCTTATACTTCTACTTACATTGTCACATGCAGATTATTTTCTGTCCTGAGCCTATGTTTCCTCATCTGTAAAACACAGATAATGACATTGTACTGTTTACTGCACAGGATGATTGTGAGGGAAGTGCTGTAGAAAGGGGAGATGCTATTTTTATTAGTGAATTAATGAGTTCTATCTAGGTGAAGGAATAGACCTTTCAGTTTTTCTAGGCTCAAATTATGCTGGTAGCCCTGAACCTCCTGACCTCTAAGGTTCCTTCCATCTATAACATCTTGTGGTCATACAGGAAGGTGCTTGGCCACTTTCCCTAAGAAAATTATTTTCCTTTAGGGATTCTTGGTGACAGGGGGAGGTAGGTTAGTCAGCAGTGGACTGGGGAAAATGAGCTAAGAACTCAGGTTACCCCAGCATTGAAGCACAGCTGTTGTTTTCACAGATCTTAACATTCCTATACTTCCCCTCCCAGTTTAGCTGTAGGGCCTTTCAACTAAAGGCCAGGCCAGTTGGGGATGAAGAATGCTGAGGATCTAGTGGGCCCCATCCCCCTTGCCTCATTCAAGAGATTGCCAGCTGCCTATAGGTAGCCAGCTCCCTGACTTTGCACTGAGTTCCCTTGACAGTTATATAGATGATTAATCCATGAGACCTGAGTTCAAGTCTCACCTTACTGTGTGACCTTGATCAAGTCACTTTTTTTTCTTTAAAACTTCAGTTTTTTCCTCTATAAAATGAAGATAACAGTCCCTTCCCTGCCTCTCTCCCAAGACTGTTGTGAGGTCAGATGGGATAATGAAAATCATAAAGTGCTATATAAGTTTGAGCCATCATCATCATCATGACGACCACCACCACCACCACCACCACCACCACCACCACCACCACCACAGCTACCTAAAGCTAGTGGGGGAAGTGTTTGAAACAAGGTCTTCGTAAAGTCCTTTTATGTTTCTTACATTTTTAAGCTAAAGTTTAAAGCTTTTAACAACTTAGGTTGTTGGAAATTGAATGGAGCAATCCTTGGACAGGCTGCTTTCCCCCTTTGGTTATCTTTCTTCTGATGTCAGATGAGGATGTGAGACTAGATGATCTCTAAGGTCCCTCCTAATCCTAATATTCTAATTCCTTGTATAATTGTCTTCTTTAAATCCTGCTCCTACTGCTCTGCTCTGCTCTGGGACTTGACTGTCAGCACTCCCTCCCTGGGTCCTTTTTCCCTCCTGTGATCTCAGTGCTTCAGGGAAATCATAGAATCACAGATCTTAGAGCTGGTGGGGACCTCAGGAAGCCTTCTGCTCCAGGTTCTGGCCATGAGGCAAAAAAGCCTGGTCCAGAGGTCAGTAGATCCGGCTTCTAGTCCTGATCCTGACGCCACCTTCTCTGTCACCTTGGATAAGACATTTCCCTGCGTCTCTTTTCTGCTCTGTAAAGTGAAGCTATTGGTTGCAATGGTTTCTAAGGCTCCCTCCAGCTCTGACATTCTGTAGTCTCTGATTCTCTGACGTCCCTTCTGCTTTGCAAGAGAACACAGTTTGCCTTCCTGTCTGTGGCAGCCGTTTCTGTTTGTCTGAACTAGGAGTGCATCCCCTTAGATGCTGTTTCCAAATAATTGTAACCCTCTTGTGGACAGTTTACAAAGTACCTCCTTCATAACAGCCCTGGGAAGTAGATGGTGAACATGATATAATTCCCATTTTACAGGTGAGGAAACTGAAGCTGAGAAAAGCTAAATGACTTGCCCAAAGTCACCAGCCAGTAAACTGCAGAACTAGAGTTTGAACACAGGTGTCTTGTCCATTGATCTTTAATTGTACTTTGCTTCCTATTAAAAACAGTAGTATGAACATTAATGGGGGATCATTATTTTTTGAGTATTTAAGCCGTCTCATTTTCCCAGCCATTTCATGTCTGTGCATCTTATCTCCCCCAACTGAGACTGTGAACTGGTTATGTGAGAGGAATCATATCTTACATTTTTCTGTGGTCTCCCACTGTGCCTAGCACAGGGCCCTGCAATGCAAACGCTAGTCACTGTATTTGATTAACTTTGGTTAACACTTAACTGCCTCTTAGAGAAACATATGAACTTTGACCTGGGTTAAAAATAAAATATTATGTTTAAACCCCTTGACAAGGCACCTGTTAAAGAGGGGCATGGAACTCTCAAGTCCTTCAAATTTACCATGGCCAAACTTAGTCCAGCAAGTCCCAAAAGAGACTCCTGGGACAGCTGCCTTTGCCTCGAGAAAAGAGAGATAAGTCTTGTTAATCCTTAGCTTTGAAAGACATACATCTGCTCCAAGTCCTCTTTCCCTAGGCCAGACATATCTAGGGTATTGGATACAGTTCTGTGTGTTGCATTTTAGAAGGGATGTTGACAAGCAGAAAGATTCCAGAAGAGGGTAACCCGGGGCAGGATGGAAACTGGATACTGTTCCACATCAACAGAAGGAAATGAGAATGTTTAACTTGGAGAGGAGAAATAAAGACTACCGTGAACATGACAGTCCTCAAGCATTGGAAAGACCATCTCTGAGGGATTATGTTTGTTCTGTGCGACTCCAGTAGGTGACAGATAAGCCAGTTTTAGCTTGCCATAAGGGAACACTTGTAAACGTTTAGAGCTTGTCACATAACGGCTTCCTGAACGCTGTGAATCTTTAAATGGAACTTGGACGATCATCATTAGCCAAGGATCTGGAATGGAGTCCTGCTAAGATTTAGGTTGGATTACATCAGCGCTTCTTAAACCTTTTACACTTGCAACCCCTTCAGTGCAACCCATATGGGGTGGAAACCCACAGTTTAAGAAGTGCTAGATTAGATGACTTCTGAGGTCCGTTCAATAGCTAAGATTATGACATGGACCTTCCTACGGGCACGCTTGACATGGCCAACTCACTACCAAGTTACCTGGATTCATAAGAATGAAACAGCAGCCATGTATTAAATGCCCACTCTGTAATCTGTATTTGGCACTGGACACAGACACACTTCTTGCCTTCAAGAAAATTGCAGTCAAGTTATGGAAGAGCAGCGGGGGATAAATGAGTAGGTTCTGGGTAGATGGTAGTAAACCACAAAAGTGAGATCCTGACAAAATACTCCAGTATTTTTGGAGTAGGGAAAGGTCATTTTCATTTGGGTTTAAGGAAAAGATTTCATGGCAAAAGTCTGAGCTGGGCTTGGAAGGAAGAGAAGGGCTCCCACAGGTAGAGACAAGGATCAGGACTGCATTTTAGGCACAGCAGTCAACCTGCACAAATGCACATAGGTGGGACAGGGCATGATGAGATCAGGGAACAATGAGTATTCCTAGGTTCTGAGAGCTAGAATTGCAAGGAACTCTAGAACTTATCTAGTCTAGCCCTCTTATTTTATAGATGAGGAAAGTGAAGCCCAGAAAATTGAAATCGCTTGCCCAAGGTCATCCAGTAATTTGTAGAACTGGAATATGAGCTCTGGGCTAGTGGCCCCAAGTTCATTGCCATTTCCACTACACTGCATTGTCTCTATTCCAGTTTGGTTGGAACATAGAATAGATACAGAAAGGGAGTAATAGGAATTGTATGGAAAGTTTGTAATCAGGTTATAGAGACATGAGTGCCAAGCAAAAGAGTTCATTTTATCCTCTTGGCAGTAGAGGATAGTGTCATGATCCTCCCACCTGTGCTTTAACTTACTGGCTTTTTATTTAAAATTTCCAAAGTCATGCTAGGTGTTTGACTCTTGATGTTTTTTCTTGGTGGAATGAAGAAGTGGGAAAACCCCATTGTAAGTTAGAATGGGTTAACACAGGCCATAAGGGACAGGAGGTATCAGATCCTGGAGGCGCTAGCCTGATTTCCCATTAAGTGTGTGTCACAAATAGCTCAAAAATAGCTTTCATTCCAAGAAGCACCTTTAGCAAACCTCTCGGTATGCCCTCTTGAATCCCCTCTACCCACTTAGTTTCCCTTTGACTTTTCCTCGTGGTCATGACTCAACCTTACCTTCTGTTTCAAATCTCCATGTTCAACATTATTTGCCTCAGTGATCTTAGGATCTCATAGCTGGACCTTGAAGAATATCTAGTC